CCCGTCGTGGCCGCCACCGCCGCCGCCTCCGCCGCCGCCGCCGCCGGGCATGAGCGCGAGGGACGGGGAGGTGATGTGGTCGAGGAGGTCGCCGGGCTCCAGCGCCTGGTGATGGTGGTGGTGGTGGTGATGGTGGTGTGCCAGGGGCACGGTGGAGGTGGAGGTGCAGGGCACACTGTTCATGGTGTGGTATGTGGCGTCGGGCTTGAACGGGTGGCTCTTGCCCTGCGAGACAGCGATGTCGACGGCGGCCAGAGCCTCGGCCCGCGCCAGAAGGGTCTCATCGAGGCTGGCGAAGATATTGCTCTGCAGCTGTAGGAGACACAAAACAGAGCGGGGTGCAGGGAGAGCAGGGCAAGGGGGCAGAGATGGGGCAAAGCACGGAGGGGGAAGGGGACGGGCGGGGGAGAGCGGGGGGTTGCGGGATTGCCGTGGGAAAGGAGGTGGAAAGTTGATGGACGGGAGAGAGAGGTGGGCAAAGTTGGGGTGATCGTACGGGCGGGGAGCCGACAGTAGGATGAGCGTGTAAAGGGGTACGGGGAGGTGGCGGTGGGGAGGCAAGAGGTTAGGGAAGCGTGGTATAGCAGGCGACAGCACGGGGAAGTGAGTAGAAACAGGGGATGGGGTACAACAATGGAGGGGGGGAGTGCGAGGGGTGGGGGGAAAGCAAGGAGAGACCAAAGAGGAAAAGAAGAGGCGAAGAGTAGAAAGGGCAGGAAGCAAGGGGGAATCCGAAAAGGAGAGGAGGAGGGAGTGAAGGGAAAAAATAAATTGAAAGGAGAGAAATGGAACGAAAGGAGAAAAGAAAGGAGGAGAAGAAACGGATCTGTAACTCTCAGCTGGGGAATTGTGTCAAACACAAGAGCACATAAAACGCATTCCTTTTCAGAGGCCGAGTCATAAAAATTAATACAGAAAGTGGATGAAGTCGGAGGCTCGTGTGAACACCGCTTTCAAAAAAGATCACAGGCGCTCAGATGATTGCAGAGGAAGACATGAAAAAAACATTAAGCGCCGCTTGTCAAAATGTGCCTCGCAGCGTTTTTTTATTAATGCACATACACATACATGCAGTATACAGAAAAGAGAGAGAGAGAAAGAAAGAAAAGTGCGTGCGTGTGTAAAAGAGAGAGAAAGAAAGAAAGAAGAGAGCTGCAGCTATCTATCCCTTACCGGTGGAGTTGGTAGACATGCTCTTCTTATTGCTTCCGAGCTGGAGTGTAGAGTGGGGTATTTGTGCTCAGGTAGGGTGGGATGCATGGCAAAATGTGGCTGTTTGCTATTCATGGACATCATCTTGAAGGCTTGGCATGTAAATCCACAAACACTCCTAAAGTCGGGGGAAAAGTGCTCTCCGGGCTCTCTCCTCCCGCCGGGGGAAGCCGCTGACAGCGGCGACGGAACCGGTGGTGGCGGCGGTGCCGCAGCGGACCCTGCCCCCGCCGCCGCTGCTGCCGCGGTGGCCGGGGCTGGGGTGGGTGGGCGAGCGGGCGGTGAGGCTCCCTCCGGCCCCCGCCGTCTCCCTCACTCCCTCCCTCCCTCCCTCTCTCAGTCCTCTGCCTGCCGCTGCCCGGCGCCGGGCGCGCTGCGCTGCGCTCTGCCCGCACCTGAGCCCCGCATCCCGTGGCTACCGCCGGGCGGGCTCTCGCGAGAGCGCGGCTCCGGCTTTGACAGACATCAGCTGTCTCCCCCCCTTCTCCTTCCCCTTCTCCCTCCTCCTTTTCCTCCTCCTCCTCCTCCTCCTCCTTCTTCTTCTTTTCCTCCCGCCGCCCCCGGTCCCTGCCTCCACGCGCCTTGTTGCATTTCCCGCAGCCCTCGCCCGTCTCGCCGGGGCGGCGGCGGCGGGGTCGCTCTTATAGAGAACGACACCGAGCACCGGCGGCTGCGGCACCTGTGGCTGCCACACGTGCGCGCTGCGCGGCCGCCGGCGCGGCCCGAGGCGCCCCGATGGGGCGGGGATGGGCGGGGTGCGGGGCAGGGCGCCCCTTCTCTGCCCTCGGAGCGGCGGGGGGAACCAGCCCGGCCCCCGGCACTGAAACACAAAGGTGCGCTGCCCCTCCGCGCTGCGGAGCCCCGTCACAGAAAGGGGCGTCCTCCGGCCGCTCCCCGCTCCTGCCGCGAAATGTACACCGGCTCCTGGGAGAAGAACTGCGGTGGTAGACATTTGTTTGAACCGCTCAGAGACTATGGTTTTCCCTGTAATTTAATTTCCCCTCACCTCGTGTAGTTTTAGTGAACATACTGCTGTTCCAGCTGCCGCGGGTGACAGCCGCTGCGCCCACGCGGGGCGTGTGTGCGTGTGCGCTCTGCACGGGCAGCGCCGCTGAGGTGAGACTGTGCATCTCCTCCTGCTGCCCAGCCCCAACTCCGCTCCGTGGGAAAACTCAAGTTTCACTGGCGTGGCCTGAACCAGAAAACAATCACAAACAGAATCTTTCCTTCTTTTCTTTCTTTTTCTTTCTTTCTTTCTTTCTTTCTTTCTTTCTTTCTTTCTTTCTTT